TTTGCTTCTCCTGTGCTTGCTGCTTTGGAATGTGGTTGGAGATTGTTTACCCAACAGGTGAATTGTTTTGACTTAATGACCATTCACTGTCAGGCTGTGTCGCACTCTGAGGAGAGAGTCAGGAGTTTTCATTATTATTCTTTAGCCTTCTGTCTGTATCCTTATATATTCTTTAGTATAGTTTAATACAGTATAAGTACATATATACTATATATACTTATATACTATATACTATATATACTTATATACTATATATTATATATATACTATAGTATATTATAAGTGTATATATATATATATATATACACATACTATATTTAGTATAGTATATTATATTCTTTAATATAATATAGATCATAAAATAACAAATTAGCCTTCTGAGAACATGGAGCCAGATCCACCATTTCCTCCCTTCACTGGGGGGTCTCAGAAAACTCCAGAAGCCTGTGCCAGGCTGCAGGAGCCACTTTTCCCTGTCAGACACAGGAGCCTCACCTGGGGATGCCCTGTGGGGCAGAGGGAGCCTGGTGTGTGTCACTGACCTGCAAGAAGGCTGTTTTCTTCAGAGAACAACAGCCTGAGTGAAAACCACCTTGTCAAGATATAATGGCCTTCCTTTCCCCCGCCTGAACTGGGGAAAGCTATTAAAAACTACTAGAATATGAAAAGGGAAAATATTTATTGCATGGTTACTTATACATGCTACATAGTCACCTTGAATTATAATAGTGCTCCTGCTTTTAGCTGCATTTTTAACCTTCTGGAATTTTCTTTTCTTCAAGCCAAAAGAGAACAATAAAGAAGATAATATTTCATTTTATGCTCAGTTTCTGCTAAAAATCCTGTGATTTCGAGTTCTGCTAACACAGAACGTATTCAGTATTTTGCTATTATGTATTAAAAGTATTAAAAGTAAATGGTAAAGCAACAGGGCTCTGACTACCTCTGGTATTAGGAGAATTGTGAACTTTTGGAGTTTTTTGATAGAGATAGAAATTATAAATATCAGCAAATATTCCTCAGTGCTTCACCAATGCTCCCCCTGAGCAATTTGTTTACTGCTTCAGGATATCACACAGCCATATATTTCACTTTTCCTGGTAGTAGCCAATTTGCAGGAAAGCAAGTAATATAAAAATAGCTATTTACTCAGTAACAAGCAGTACAGTACATTATCACTCGACATTGATGTTGTTAGAGGATAGCAAATTGATAATCAGTTCTTATTCTGTAACTTTGTAAACCATCTGCTTCTATCATTGCAAAGCATGCTCAGCTGCAGCAAAGCCTTCACTGCCATACTAACCAATAATTTGCTTTATAATGTCTAAAGATAATGTTGTATCAAAAGCTTTCTAACTGCCTCACCATTTAAATAAGTGGATGGTTGGGGTATAGAGAGATTCTGCAGAGAGGGATAAATTGTAACTCCCTGTTACACCCTTGCCAGAAGAGAATTTTGTTTACCTTTCAAACACGTAGTTTGTGATTATATGGTCTATTATGTTATTAGATCCCACTTTCTCCCAGTGGCCAGGGCCAGGTTCTTTTCTAAATAAAATCAAAAGGTAGAAGCAATTTCCAACCCTGTGTGTCCACATTCTAAAGACAAATTTTAAAAACTCTAATTGTATTTTAGTATTTTAGTATGTTGACTCCTTTGGACTCATTTTCTTTGCTTCCTTGGCTTAGGAGCATTTCCTATAAATCACTTCCACATTTAGTGTCACCAGCTTCATAAATTCATTTGTCTTTGCTAAAAGCATCCTTGTCTGTGCTGGTATCACCTGGCTCTCCCACCTATGTGTTTCTCTTGCATGCTCCTCTTGTAATTTAAACTGCCCAATGACATCATATTTCCAACATTAGGTAATATTAGTTTTATTTGCTTGATTTCAGCTCCCCTTTTCTCTCATGCAGAAAGCCACAGGAATGTTTATAACCTAGATCACTCAGTGATGTTCCATTACACACTTGATAATGGCTTTCCAGTTCCTCAACTGCTACCTCTTCTTTGCATTTGGTGCCAGCCTGAGATTAATAAACCATTTATTTCTGCTATAGACAGCACTCTCATGTCATAAAAAATGCAGAAATCTCATTCTGAACTTCCTGCTTACTTGGCACAATGCTTTATTTTCCTTTTGGTTCTCTCTCTTCCATTTGCAAGCTTTGACTTGATGATTTCTTTTGCCTTGATTACCAAACATCACCCCACACACATAGAAAATTTCATTAACCAGGATCTTTTTTACAATTCTGCAATTGTAAAGGCTGCAATTTTTGACCACCTCTGATTCCTCAAATGGAGCAGAACTTATAAAAGCGACAGACCTAGTGACTTGTCGTGCATTTTGTGACCATTTTGGTTCATTTTAGGTGCAGCCCTGGGCTCTTGTGCTGCCCCAGGTGGATCCATTGAGGACTTTTAATAAAAGCCTGCTTGTTGTATTTGTGGGGTGCCCCCTGGCAGGGAGGAATGATGAATCTGACTCCATGTTCTCAGAAGGCTAATTTATTATTTTATGATCTATATTATATTAAAGAATACTAAACTAAACTATATAAAGAATAGAGAAAGGATACTTACAGAAGGCTAAAAAGATAATAATGAAAACTCCTGACTCTTTCCAGAGCCCCGACACAGCTTGGCCCTGATTGGCCAAAGAGTGAAAACAACTTACAGCAGAATCCAATGGAACAATCACCTGTGGGTAAACAACCTCCAAACACATTCCACATGAGCACAACACAGGAGAAGCAATCAGATAATTATTGTTTTCATTCCTCTCTGAGGCTTCTCAGCTTCCCAGGAGAAGAATCCTGGGCAAAGGGACTTTTCAGAAAATATGATGATGACACCTACTTTATTCTTTAACTCTTGTCTAGCCTCTGTTCTAGATCAGCCTTCTCAAAGCATCAGTTCAGTCTTACTGACAAGAACAATCTAAGTTCAGCACTGACAATCCTGAATCACTGAAAAATGTACATCTTCGAACACACACGTTTCCCTTAAACTTAGCTCCTAATTTTAGCACGGCTAGGGTATAATTTTTGAATGTGTAGGACTGACATTTCTCATTGCTATCCTTGCACTGGATCAACTAACCTGAAATAGATGACATCCATCTATTTTCACTTGAAATTGTATTACTCACACTAGAAAAGCTCCTCTGTAAATAGTATCTCAAACACTGACAATTGACTTAGGATGAGATGGCTACTCAGAGGTGAAAAAGTCATCTGGGGTAATTTCTTTTTTCCCCAATTGTAGAGGATATATATGTGCACACCATAATCCCATCTATCTTACAAGAATGCTTTAATTCAGGAAGAGAAATAGCTTTGAACTTTCATGCTGAGCAATCCTTAGACACAGGAAACCTTCAGCTTAATTCCCCTGAACTCCAGAGGCATAGGGAGCTGCAGCCAATGTTTGTGATTTACACCGTCCTGCACACCCCAAAATACTTCTGGAGCCACTCTTTCAAATACAGCTCCCTTCTTCCCTGAAACAAGATACTCTTTAAAAGCAAGATACCATTAAAAAAAGGATGCATGAAAGGTAGATAACTGGTTTCATCTGCCTTCCTTTCATAATAAAAAACAGGTATTTTGAGACTGAGGCCCAGATGATGCATTAATTCTAGCTATGGGTACTATGAAGCAAAGTGACATTTAAATGAAAAAAAGATAGTTACAATTCCAAATTTCCTTTTACTAGAGGCATAAAACCAAATATTTCCTTTGCTTAGTCCTCGTGTTATCTGCTCAGGTTTTAAGATTGCAGTGATGAGAGAGATCAGCAAAATAATAATATATATATTATTTTATATATATATATATATAATTATAAACAATTATTATATATTGATTATATTATTAAATATATTTATTTATAATAAAATATATATTCTATAATTATGTATAATTATATATAATAGATAATATATAATATAATATAGAATATATAGCTTATAATATATAATATATAATAATATATAATATTACTTCTCAAGGAAAGTAGAGAATAAACTGCAAAGAAGGGAGCAATCACTTTTTGTTAATTAAAATACTTCAAAATTCAAAAGACAATTGCATGCTACCTGCTGACATTGCTAATTAGCCCACTGAGAAAAGAACTGCTTTGCTCTACACTTACTTATCATCCAGCCCTGGGAGGCTCATCCTTAACCACTGCTGTACAAAACACTAAGAAAAGCAGATAAATCCGGGCATTTCTGCCCTGTTTAAGACATTAGCAGAAGACACCTTCCAAACAGATTTTTCCTGCTTTTTCTGGGGAAGATGCAGAGGAATCAGGCTGGCTGCTGTGCTCTGCTTCAGCCGTGAAGGACGGGCACACAGCTGTGGCACAGGGCTGCTGCCAGGCCCCAGCAATCCCCCTGAGCACATCCCACCCTGGCACCCCCTCCTCTGCAGCCACTGCGAGCTCATGGCTTCAGTTCCACAGCCCAGACCCTCCAAAGGCTTCCAGTGCTGTCACAGCAGAAAAAGAGAAAAACACAGCAAAAGTGCCTTGCCCAAACCATAGAAGAGACATTTCCTCCTGATTTTGAGAAAGTGCTGGTAGCAGTTTCTTATATTATTTTTGTAGGCATACCTGCACAAGGACTAACTTCATTTAGCAGTTCTCAAAGCTGTCTTCTATCCTGCAAATCATAAATTAAAATTGTGTGGCTAATGTGTGTAGCAATGATATTTTATAAAAAATCATTTCTTTAGGATTTTTTCCTCCTGAGAAGCTGGGAGGCCTCAGGAACAGAATGTGAACATTGATTATCTGCTGCTGTGGAATGCAACAGGTGCATCTGTGATTGGCTCATGTGGTTGTTTCTAATTAATGGCCAATCACAGTCAGCTGGCTCAGACTCCCTGTGCAAGACACAAACTTTTGTTATCATTCTTTCTTTTTCTATTCTTAGCCAGCCTTCTGATAAAAATCCTTTCTTCTGCTCTTTTAGTATAGTTTTAATGTAATATATATATAGTAAAATTATAAATCAAGCCTTCTGAACCATGGAGTCAGATCCTCGTCTCTTCCCTCATCCTCAGACCCCTGTGAACACCGTCACAAATGTGTGCACTAATCAGCTAACTATTTAATACAAATGTGAGTAAATGGACAAAAATGTGTTCAGGTTGAAAAACCACCTCTCCAGCTGCATAGGTACTTCAAAAATACATATTTGTTTTTTTCTAACCCTTACCTTAACAGGTAAGTTTATCATTAAAATTACTGCTTACCTGAACATAGTTTGGTGATTCTCTGATTGTAATTTCATAGACATTAAGTAAGGATTTCCTATTTTGAATCTAGAGACACAGCAGTAACAAAACACACACATTCTATTACCTGGATGAATATCTTGCATAATACTCAGGTAGAAAAAAAATCTGCATATTTAATACTGCCAAAGGGAAACCAGTGCAAAGAAGGACTGGATTACATCAAGCACATTTCCAATTTTTGCTCAAGGAAAAGCAGATTTAGAGTTAATCAAACAGCAATCAATCCACTGCAGTATTAGAAGACAGGATTTTTCAGCCCTGGTTTAAATTAATGGGAAGACCTTGGTGTCTGTGCTGTGTTTGAGCGATGGTGTGATCGGCTGCAGGACCTCTCAGCCTTTCCTCCCTAGAGTGGATCTGCACGAACAACCACCAGGCCCTCAATCACAAAGAGCTTTGGGACAGGGAAATGTGTAGGGGTGACGTGAGGAGTCCTTTGAAAGAAACAACAGAGGAGAGAAGGAGAACCAAAGGCCACCATCAGCAGGGATGTGCATCTCCTGTAGAGCTGCAAGCACTGACAGCATCACCTGAGCACCAGGGAACACCAGAGCCCTGGCCAGGTCACCCTGGGCCCTTCCCAAAGGGATTTTGGTGTTTTCCCCCACCAGGGCAGAGGCACACACCAGAAAGAAGCCTGGATCAGTCCAGGTCCTGTGGCAGCTGCTTCTCTCTCAGAGCACAGGAAGGTTTACTTCCCCAAAGCACTCCATTTCAATCAAAACACTTACACAAAACAATCTCATGTACAAATTTAGGAACTAAAAAATTCAAGTGTAAGGCACTGCTGAAGCAAAGATTAGGCTCCCAGTGAGAAATCTAACCATCATATTGCACACCTGAAGTAGCAGTAAAAAAACTTAAAGACAGATAGGTGGTTTTAGGAATCTTATTGTAGTTTGTTTGTTTGTTTGTGGTTTTTTTTTCCACTGGGCATGTTTTTTGGCATCATATATGCATGTGCTGACAATCACCTGATGATGGTTTAATTTTCAAAAACCACTGAATTTGCCCTTTTTATCAGCTTATTGATACACATCCTTCTCACATACACCTAAACCTATGCAAGAGGGACTATCCACTGGCAGCAAGCAGCAAAAATTAATCCTGTTAGCACCTGCAAGTAATTTGAAGATTACATGCAATAGCAGCAGCTCAGTAACACCTCCGAGGTCAATGACAGCTGAGCCAGAATTATTGCTGACTTCTACCAGAGAAGAATTGGATATGAAGCATTCAGACACCCCAGACTGGATCTTTTAAATTTCTTTTAATTTTTTTTAATTTATACTCCCATGAATCTTCCTTACACCAATTTAAATTTCAATGAGCTCTAAAGATGTACCTTAAAAAGAAGAGGAGCTTGTTGGCAGGCACATTTTTCCACTGGCAGAATATGTTCCTCAAACAATTATGTCTTATCACAACACTCACTTAAAATTTTACATCAAACTGTATCATGGGGCCCTTTTAAAAACCCCTCATTAATGATGATTATGTAAGTACCATTAGATGAGAGACATTCCCATATTGCTCGTAGGAGTTATGATTTAATCTGCTAAAATCTACTCTACCATTTGTGTAATCACTCCTGACATTTTACCTTTTGTTTTGTAAAACATTCTTGTCTGTCAGAGGAAAAAAAAAAAAAAAAGATGATATTTTGGTTGTCATTGCAATCTGATTGAAAAGATGTTATTAATTAAATCTTGTACACAGTTATACCTAAAAACTCACTGACAGCTCTTGGGGGAAGATATATTACTGGAAGACAGTTGTTATTTAGGTCTCTGAGGCAACACTAAGGCACTAAGAAATCCCACACACACTCCTGCGAGTTGGGCTGATATTGTTCAGCATTTGTGGGGAACAATTCAGCTTTGCCTTCCTAGTGGCCAGCAGGGCTCAGAGTGCCCATGACCCCACCACAAAGGAATATTTGCACTTGCTTTAGCTCAGGATGTGAGTGTGCAAACAGCCAGAAACAGAGCTCAGAACTCACTGTCCTCACCAGACACAACACCACGCTCTGCTTTGGACAGCCTGGCTGAGTGTTCTACCAAAAGGGGGAGGACAAGGACATTTACCAGACCTGGAATTTTCATTTTCTGTTTGTCACTCATTGACTTCTTTTTGTCATCAGAAGGGTTACAGAGGAAATCCTCTTTCACAGGATAAATAAACAGAAATAGCTAAAAAATTGCAATTGTCTCTAGCCACAGCTTTGACCAGGTCCCTTAACCAGCAGCACAGAGGTTAGTGGTAGTCCTCCTCAAGTTAATACTACACTACAAATATGCACCACATACATAAAATATATACATTCTCCTGAGCAGAGACATTGTCCATCTCACAAACAAAGAGAAGAATTTTCTCAAATTATTATAATAAACATTGTTTTTTTCCCCAGCATTTTAATTTTAGTGTCCATATCTTTACAGGGAATAGAGAATTTCATCAAGAAAGAAGTTCTGAAAGTTCTTACTTACCTTGGTCACACAGGGAATTAAGTTTTCCTCCATAAAGTGCTCTTTGAGCTGGGCTTGGGGCTTCTGAGTGCTCTGAAGGAACATGGGATGTGACTAGTGATCAAATTACTTCATGAGGGAAAGCTCATCACAGTCAGGGCAACTGCTTAAAATGCAACATAAACAGGTCTGTGTCAATATTTTGACTTTGTGTAAACAATTCAAGCTGCATCACTCTGCAGATAATGACACGTAATGCTGTATAAAATGCTGTGAAAGGGTTTTATTACTGAATTAATTTGCATTTGAGCTCTGGAAGAAAATTGGTCTGCAGTGGAAAAGTGTGAACTTCTGTGGTCCTGTTAAATATGATCCTAACAAGATCTGGAGCTCCAGAAGCATCCTGGGAAAGGGCTTCACTACTACAAGGTAAAAGGGATAAGAATGATTTTCAGAGACTGCACTGTCTTCAATCCATTTACAGAGCTTCAGAAATCCAATATGACAGACTGGAATATATGATTCTGCCTGAGTATAAATGACATATTTCTTACCACTCTGATGCTATACCTCTAGGCAAACACTTTTTCTCCTGTTTTGCAACATCATGAGCTCAGGCTGGAAAGGACATTGATCAGTGTTTCAGAATCCTGCTAATAAAACTAAGGGAAAGCAATCTGTACACAGGAGTTTATTTAGATGCCCACAGACTTTAAATCATTCCCCTTCATATCTCAGCCCACTGGGTATCTTATCCAACTGAATTACCATTGGGTTTTACAATGTGATATACAAAATGAGCCGACATGATTTACAAACATCCTTTGAGTATCATATAAAACACAACTCTTTCCCTTATTATACAATCATCAGGGCAATGCAAATAGACTCAATACATTATTAGCTGAAAATGATGGGGCCTTTTAAGAAAATAAATTTAACTTTACCACACAAAGTTGTTAACTAAAACAAAACCTGGTTAAAAAATTGGAATAAAGTTATCTGAATGACTGAAAGTAATTTTATATTCTCTGTCCCCTTATAAATGTAATAGTACTTCATTTAACAACTAATATTTTCACTCTATAGTCACACTTCTTTCTTAGTGATCAGTTTCACATTTTCTTCATGAAACTATGAAAAACTCACAAATGTAGACTTTCCAAACTGTAGCCACTATAGTTATTTCTGCAATCTTTTCCATATATTCAGTGTGTTTAATTAAATAAACAAAAAGAAAAAAACCCAAACAACACTACACAAATGAGCAGAACAAAACACAACAGCACATTAAAAATGTGACATTTAAGCTGTAGATGCATTGCCATAGAAATATATTTTTGTTCTAATGCCACAAACTTTCTAGCCTCTTGAAGAAAACTCAGACATTAGCTGAAGAGAATCCAAGCTCTAACCTCCATACAGGGCTAAGAGTCTTGGTTTAAATTCCTGTCTAAACTTAGGTCCTCAACAGCACAGTAAATTTAAGTATTTTTGAATGTCATAAAACATGAAAAGATAAAACCTGTTTCCGAGCTGTTGGTAATGGAAGTTACCAGGCTTTAAGGTCTCCTGTTGCTGGAACAGGTGCCTCTGCACTTTGTCACTATGGCAGCAGTAACTGAGGATGACAGACATCATTATTAAACACAAAAGAGGAAAAATTCTGAACTCATCAATGATGTTGCAAATGCAAGCAAATTCTAACTACTCAACTTAAACTATATAACCTTAAGGATCTCTGGCTGTTTTTAGCACTGTATAATCCAGAGGAATTATACTCGACACAATGCTGATAATGACTTGTGATTCCTTCTTGAATATGTGTTGAATTGGCAGTGGGAGGGGGTTTTAGCTCCATTTCTCACTGTAGAAGTCTTGTTGCTGCTCTGCACGTTTGAAGAAGAAAGTGCTTATTCTGCCATTTCATTCAGTTCATGGCATTTAATTTTATAGTTTAAGACAGACTTATTTTGATTACTTTCATTATGTCCATACCTTCGAATGCTTTAAAATGTTGGGACAGCTGTGAAATATAAGTATTATGCAATCTGACTGTACATACATACATATTTTCATAAATACATCTAACAGGGACCTTGGAACCAAGTATGTGATATCATGGGACAAAATCACAACAGGCTGTCGTATTTGTAAAATCTAGATTCAAAATAAGAAGAGCTGAATTCTATCAATGTTGTCAATACACAAATTAAAACAAAAAATACAGCATTAGTTTACCCATGAAATAATTTAAACATATTTGCAAATTTCTTGACAGGAAAGGTGTGTAATTTACAACACTGAAAACTTGCAGCAACCACTGATCTCTCTGCGCTGCACTGGAAGTCACCCGACAAGGCCGGCAGGGATGGGCATAGCGACAGCTCCCAAAGGCAACTCCCACACATCTTCCTCCTTTGGAGACTTTGGTAAGAGTCTGGTGTACAAAATGCCAACGCACAGGCTTCCTTCAGGTGGTAACTCCAGCAGTCCTCCTCCCCTGGCACAGTCCAGCCTGGCCGGGTCAGTTATTGTTGAGACACTCTAAATCCACCGAGCAGCAGACATTCCCGTTCTGCACGGACAGACAAGCACAGCAGGTCACAGGGAGCAAAGGCTGTGGCATGCAGACATAGGGCCATCCCCTAAAAACACCTGAAAACACCTCCCCCAGCACCCAGGGTGTTGGCATTGCTGCCAGCAGTGGCTCCCTGAGGAGCCCAACCTTGCCAAATAGCACTGAACAGCCACAGGAACCTGAAACCTGGATATGGCGCCCATAATAAAATACAGCAATGGCAACAGATGACTGGGGTTTCCCTCATGCAAGAAGTTAATGGAGAGAATTTTGATGTGATCCACACAAGGAAGCTTTCAGCTTGTCTGAAATTCAAAGACAGGTCAGGTTCTTGGTTCATGGCACATATGGAGGGGATGAGGGCAACATAAACTGCCCTCAGCTTTGGAATTTAATGTTAAGTATCTTTTTCTAACCCACAGTCATTTATAAAGCTATCTTATGTAATAAAATAAATTTAGCAGCTACTAAACGCCCAAATGAGCTTTTTTTTTTTTACTTTTCTTTTTTTTTAATCCATCACAAATCTACAGAAAAAAAAGCTCAAAAGAAAGGCAGAAATGCTACCTTCAATAATTTAAAGCCCTGAGGCAATAGCTTTCTCTCCTAGAGTGAACAGAAGAACATTTATATAACCCTAAACAACATTTTCATAATTCTGATATCAGCACAGTGGGGTCATCACTGCACAAAGCAAGGGAAATAGACTGCACTCCTGCATGAGAGCCATTGGATTAAATTCATCTCGGTGAGATCAGGGGACAGAAACTGTGACATCCCCTTCCCATCACTGCTGTGGGAGTGCCTTTATCTCAGAGCTGCGATGCCTTTTAACTTGTGTACTTGCTGGTGAAACTTTTATAGCAGTGTTTTTGCTTCAGCTTACCAGCTCTGTAATAAATACACATTTTCATGAACATCCACACTAGGTAATTACTGAAATGTTACTCTTGACTCATACTGAGAATGCCTGAAGGGCACTTCAAGAGAATGTCTGAAAGTTGCGCTAAGATAGCAACGTATCTGTGCTCAACATTTTCAACAAGGAGAGAATTGTTTTGCTTTTACTCTGCCAGACAGAAAACACATGGGTTCTCTGCTGGCTCTCAGGTCTCATTTACCTCCCCAAGATCTTAATGTGAGCCTCCAGGAGAAGAAAAGGACCCCAATTTTATCGGGTACATTCCACGACCATTCCAGCAGGCCCACCATACCTTGCATTTGCAGGTTGTACAGGGAGATCCCACCATTGTCCATACAGCACCACTGAGCCTGGTGATCCCATAGCCATCTGGACAGGTTTTCCTGATGTCGTAGGTGATGTTGTCAGCCAGGCAGGGGTCACTGACGCAGTGGGGACAGCACTCTCCCTCCGACATGGCTGTGTACTCGCAGCTCAGCGCCGGGCACTGGAGGGGCCAGCAATCCACCTCTCCTTCCTACAAACATTGAAGCAAGTGTCATTGGACCTGCCATTTATCAACCAACAAGAAACTTTTTACCCTCTGAAAGCATTGTTTTCCCAGAATTTCTATAAACTGAATGGTTCAGAACTCAGTTAGGTTGGTCACACAAATACATGTTGAATGTATACATTTATATATTCCTAAATATAGCAGATTGTAATTTGGTTGATTTCTGACTGAACAACAACACTCATCATTGTAGCAGGAGCACTTGAGTTCTTTGGGGCTTCTGAAGGCAGGGTTAAATACTGGGTACTAATATTTTCTACAAACTATAATTTTTGCTGTGATTGCCTTGCAGACTCATGCACTCTTTCTACTCCTGGTCACATAAACATCTCTGCAGGATCACAGCAAGTGTTTAATGGCAAGCTAAAACTGCAGATATAGAAAATTAACACTGCAGATAGATGTAGTTTAGTATGTTGGAGAAGCACTGAACATTGATTGAAGTAGCAACTGCCAATATCAACTTTATTATCAGCTCCTAAAGGAATTGTTAGAGCAATACCATTTGTGTTCCACTGACTTATTTTATTCCATCATTTATTTATTTTTAATTTTATTATTATTTTTATTTGAAAAAAAAATGAAACAGTTTAGCAGACAGAGACATGGAGAAGACAAAAACATCAGGTCACTTCTGCACAGTGTTTCTCTGCATGTCTAAATTTATCTTGGAAAGTTCTTCAATAACTTGTTCTTTACCGCTCTGTAAACACTTCAGATGCTGAGAACATCACACATTGCACGGAACCTTACATACAACACTGATTTAGGGCATCACTGTCTTACAGGTTTGGTTGTTATCCCAATAATAAAATCGGGCAAGAAACTGCAAGCCACAACCTCAATACTTACTCTGTGCATTATGGATAATCACCTCATGACAGCAACTTAGCTTTGAATGTAATTTCCTGCCTGATTCTCAGACACCTCTTGATTAGTAACATATATAAAGACTGTGTTACACAGACAGCTAGAAATAGAAAACTGATAATTTTAATGAACTTCATTGATGCACTAATTAGCATATCTATGGGAAACCTAAAGCTTTAAGGGAATAATCTATAGTGTCTAAAGAGAAAACAAGTGATCGTTATTCTGTATGTTTTTCTAGTAATTTCAGTCTTATTTGGTAATTTTTTTCTAGTTTCTACAGTGTCACCCTGGTTTTTTAAGATTTTCTAAACCTTCTGATGTTGATATTCTTACACTTTCTGTAAATAACTCATTGTTTTGCATTCTTTTATGGAAGAGGAGAAAGCTGATGGACTGTTGGTCTGTCCAGTGTCATTGGAGAGGTGGCACTGTCACCCTCCAATCCACTCTCACTTTTGGAAATCTATAAATGTTGGAGTCAGAAAATAAACTTCCCTTTTCCTTTTTCCTTCACCTTGAGAACAGTGGTGTGCACTTGTGTTTTTTCATGTCCTATAGTGACAATACAGTGGCACTGGCACTCCATGCTTCCAGATTTGCAGAATTCAAACAAATAAATAAATAAATAAATTTATTATTCCTTTTGACAAGACAGATATAATTAAAAACTGAAACTTCTCCAACCAACTCCATCACATGCCCAAAAGGTTTGAAGAAGTCATTAAATATCAGACAACCTCATAAAAGTTCTCAAAAGCAGACTAATGCTAAAATTAATATAGTGTTGAGGTTTCTAAGGTTTTTGTCAAGCTCTCAATTTTTCTCATTAAACCTGCTTATTCAGCAGTAAGGCAAAAACTGATGGTGTAGATTTCAGCTCTCTGGGACTCTCTAAATGCTTCATTATCATCACCATTCACTGGTGAGCAGTACCTGAAAGGGACCTTCCCACTGAGGAGTTAGAGACTGATCTCGCCTTGACTTAATCATCACCCAATCCCTGGAATTAATATTATGGATTCTGAAATCCATAATATGGATGGGCGGTAGTTTGAGGAATTGCCCTTTTATGCCTTAGCCCTTCTAAGGTTTGTGCTATGGACATAACTTATTTCTCGGCATTGGTTTCCCCTTCCTCACAGGTGGCAGCCTTCTGGGGTGAGGTCAGGAAGGGTAACCCAAACATCATTTCATAGGGTGACAGCCCCAGATCGGACTGGGGTGGAAAAGCAGGCGAGCCTGCCTGCAGGTGTGTGCTGCTAACAGCCACAATGCTGCTCGCCCTGCGCCGCGCTGTGCCCCTACCAGGCAGCGGCAGTGCTGGCAGCTGTAGGTCCAGTTGTCCCCGCTGCGGTA